TCAGAGGAAGATGACTACTTTAGCAAAAATGCAGAGACAGATGGATACAAACTGTAAAGCTTTGCAATAAGTGTGACGCCCTGTATGCTGCCATCAGACATGGTGTATGAGACGCAAAACCTGTTAAATTAAGAGAAGAAATCCAATCTGTTATGTTGTATATCTGAGCGCTTTATGAGGCCATTACCATGGAATCTGGGTGCTTCGCATTCCATTTTAAATGAACACATCTAATAAAGTGAGTCATTCAATGGAAGACTCAAAAATAGAAAACTTATAATCACCCCCACTAGGGTTTGCATAACCTGCCATTCGCACGGTAGCATTGTATAATCCAGTGCTCTCCAGTTGTTCCAAAGCTCCTCAGGTGAACACTGGGTGTGCGAACTCCAAACCAAAGATCCCTGCAGGCTGAGCTGGGCACTCTGCGCTACCTGCGCTTCTACAATCACTGCTACCCCTGTAATGAAGCTTTTGATCCTTCTGGCTGGGCCACTTGAAAGGTAGCTGCAGTGCTGGTGCCCAGGACCGCAATGAGCCAGGCTGTAATCAGGATTCTTACTGCAGGCAGTGCTGCTCAAGAGCAGATACTGACAGCTTGCAGAATGCATCCATATAGGAAATGCTCAAAGAACATGGGGAAAAAAAAAAAAAAAAAAAAAAAAGGATGTAATGGGATCACATTTAACACCCCACACACAACACAATCATCTACCATGTCCCATGTAGCTGTTCTTGTTTGCTTCTTAAGTGACTAAAGCAGTTAACACTTTACATAGTATGTCAGACCACGCTAACTAAAGTAAGCATCTTAGAAGGCAGTAATTAAAGCTTCAATCAGCCAGTGCTGGAGATGCTTGCCCTGCAGCACTCCCACAAGCACCAAGCACCTCTGTGCTCAGCCTGTACAGCTCCCATCTCCTGGGCTGCCCTCTGCTCTGCTCTGCCCAGCAGTGACACACAAAGCAGCACGCTGAGAGGCAACCAAAGCTGGTTATCTCACAATCTGGGCTCTGACACACGCCCTCATGACTTCTGAATCTCATTCCTGCAAGCCACAGCTGTAGGTGAAGCCACACACCAAGACAAGCTTCCAGCAGATGCAGAATTTGGCTGTCACCAAAACGCTGCTGAAGATGACACTCCGGATCCTCTCCTAAAGCCTCTGATGGTTACTTCAGGTTCTTAAATACAAGTTACAGCACTTTAATTAAACTAATTATCCCAGAACAACCTCACCAAGCAAGCACAGAAACACAGCCTATAATATCTAAACAGCTGGCAGGGTTAGAGTCCCTTGAAGCCATAGACCGCACTACAAATTTTAAGTTCCTACACCCTAAATTTAAAGCTCCCAAATCCCACAGGCCAACTTCCACTAATTAGTGGAAGCAAAGCAGCAGTTTGCCATATGGGGAGAATGCTGCCCACGCGGTGAGCGGGCCTGAAAGGAGCTGCATGGCATGTCACAAAAAACCACGGCAAAACAAAGAACAGCCCTCCTATCTTCGTCCTTCTCTTGCTCCCCACTGCTTCCAACTTCCTTGCTGTTTGTGCTTAGGTGAGCAAGACCTTCCCACCAGGGTTAGGTGGCAGCCCAACTGCTTTAACCCTACAAGGGGTTTAACTTGGACTTCTCTCTCTCTCCTATTTGTATTTTTCAACTTGACAACTTCCTTTCCCATGTCACACACTACCATCACTCTCCAAAAACAAAACAAAAAACCTCACAAACTCAAAATAAAATAAAAACGTACCAACAAACAACTTGTCTTACAGATAAGGCAAGGAGGAGTTAGACAAAGTTACTGTATAGGTGTTACCCTTTTCTGGCATTCCTCATTCACTTTGTATTTAATGCAGATACTTGACAGAAGCCCACCAGTTCAGCTTCATCCTAATACTTCTACCTACAGCTCCTTCCTTCACTCCTCCCACTCCAAGGCAAATAGTAAAGAAGAAAAGTAAAACTCTGTATGTTAAACATATTACAGGACTGGGCATATACAGACAGGTACCCCGCTCAAAGGAAGACAAACACATACAAACTAGGTTAATCATGGAGGCGTGTCAAGGAAGCAGCCTACTTTTACACCCAGAGTTGAACTCAGCTCCCAGCCAACAGCAGGGGCACGCAGTCAGTATCGCTTTGAAAGAAGAACTAACACTTGGTTTGAGAAACACTTTGCGAAGCAAATGAGTCCCTCTCCAAGGCTCGGTACCCAGCCAGCAGAGGAACGCCAACCCAACCTCCATTAGCACTTTACATTTATAACTCTGGGCGAGTTCATCTGGCATTTGGAATCCTCTGAGGCAGTTACACGTTCGCTTGGGAACTTGGATCAAATGCGGTTATTTGGAGGTAGAAAATGCTTCTCCCCCTGCACCACTAAAAAAAGAAAATAAAAATCAATGCTATGATAACGTAGAAGAGTTCTGATTGCAAACTGTTTGCTCATGATGTAATACAGGAAGTTTTCTGAAGCAGTGCTTTTTGGAAGAAGCAGAACATACCTGCATTGGCAAGAGCCGCAGCATTGCTGCGGTGCAGCCCTACAGCAGGTGCTGCTGAGAACAGCCTCCACAGTGCATCCACAGGGCACCTGCTTTCAGGAAGCCCCAGTCCTGCCCCACAAATACCCACAAAGCAGCTGAGGTACCTGAGGTCTTCCTCATTTAAAGGAAGACCTTCCCACTTCTGCCTGATCTGCTTCAGACCTTCTCCACCCCTAGGCCCCAGCACTCACCTACCAACTGCTCAGCCTTTCCCACTCCTCCAGGAGCACACAGGGCAGGCAACCAGCATGCGTGCAGCAGGTCACTGGCACAGGCACCTCCTTCTGAAACCTGCACCAACAGACTCCCACCAGCTGCAGTGGCACGCTCACACAATGGAGCTACTCCCTGGAAAAACAGGCTTGGACTGCAAACAGAAAGCCAAGCCCTACATAGCTGACATCTACAACTGCACTATCAATCCCCTAGTTTAAACGAAGAGCAGCAAAGGCCCATAAGCTTTAGAAAAGATACATTAATTTTTGAAATCCTATTTGGCAGCATGTAAACTCACCAAAATGAGGCACCTGATATATGCAAGCTGCTGCTCAACAGGGTTGCCTGCAAATGGAAGCCCTCATTATGAAAGAAGTAAGATATGTACACAGGGAAATAAATAATTGCAAGCTGGACATTGGGGGGAAGAGGGGGGAAAGTATATTTCTCTTATGTATTTGCTAAAGCATGAACAGCACTGTGAACAGTAAGCATACAGCAGAAGGGAACCTTTATGAGCTTTCACTTGGAAAGCTGTGCACTGAAGGCCTTTGAACCCATCCAGTTTTCTATGCTTCTATTAGCAGGAGATTACCAGGCAGTAATGGATCTCTAGATTTAACAGTTCATTAAGCAGAAGGGCACAGCCTAGGACACTGCTGTCACTGTGCTCCTGTGTGTACATATATGCACACAGAACTAAGTAAAACAAAACACTCATCCACAGATTGTTACACGCAAAGTAACACCATGAAGTAGTCGTAACGTCTGCATCATTTTTCATGTTCACATCCTCACTGAAAGCTTTCACCCGGTGCTACAGTGAATGTGCATGCTAAGTGTCTAACATTAATAACACTGCACTTGTTGCTATTATAGAGGAACCTATACCACATTACACCTTAACTATCAACAGTCAGATCTCCAAATACCACTGAGTCATTACTACTCATCACACATTGCTCCCATTGCTGCACGCTGCTGAGGAACTGCACCTACACCAAATGAGAAAAGGGAAAGGCATGATTAAATTCAGTTAAAAATACATCGTGCTGCCAACAGCTGCCTCCTGAGCCCGCTCCTCATCCATGGCTGGGATTATCTTACAGAGGGACCCGGGTGTCTTCAGGCTGGTGGTGTAACAAGTCTTGCGTAAGCTTTGCGCTCGGGTAACTCTAGCTAGCAACATGCAATAGCGAGAGCAGTTCAGAGAAATTGCAGCGGAGAGTGAAAATAAGACACAAAAAGCACAGCCATTAACCTGAACACCATCAGAAGATAAACACAAGAGCCTGCAGTGGTGACAGCCCCAGGCACAGCTCTCCAAGCCCCTCGGTCCCTCCCTCCCTCCGCAGCCTCCCCGCACTTGTAGCTAGATGCAAGGCTGGGCCGCGTTCCTGTGCCACTCCTCCCATCAATGCAACGCTGTCCCTTGAGAGCTCGTGGCAGCGCGGCCAGCAGAGCCGCAGCCACCCAACACGCACAGAGGGCCTGCTCTGCTCGTGGCACAGCACGCAGCCGGCAGGTCCGGCTGTTTTCTCAAAGCGTCCACGTGCAACCCCTACCCTTCTGCAGCCATGGGCTTACAAACATTTGACCGATTAAAGAGATAAGGAGCCGAAGAACCTCAGGAGTTCCTTATTACACCCATACACTCTCACCCAGGAGCAATGCTAAGTGCTCAACACCAGCCACAAGTGCTCCAGCCCTACCGTGCACAGCTCAGCATCCCACCCCACCCCCGCGCTCACATCCCGCCGCATCCCAGCCGCAGCACGGCCCGTTCCGCAGTGAGGAAGGAGCAGCTGCGGGCCACCTGCGGGACACGCACAGCGGGACGCGGCGGGCCGGCTGCGGCTTCTCAGGGCACGGAGCTGCCGTTCACGGAGCTGCCGTGGGCTCCTCCGCGCAGCAGCCGCACGCCGCTTCTCCCTGATTCGCACCGGCTCCCCGCCGCCCCGCCGCTTACATAAAAGAGCCGAGGAGGGGCCGCGGCTCCCGGCAGCTCCGCGCGATGGAGCAGAGCACACGGGATGCTCTCGCCCGCCGAACGGCCGCTGCGGCTGGGCTGGGCTGTGCCGTGCCGGGGCAGCCCCTCGCCTTGCCTCCCTCACCCCGCCCGTCCCTCCCCGCGCCCCGCCGCCCGTTACCGGCACATCAGGGCCTGGCGGCGCGCAGTGGCCGTGCCGGTAGAAGGGCTCGTTAGGCCCCGCTCTCCCGGCCCTTACCCCGTGCCGCCGGCGCTGCCGCTCGCGGAGGCGGATGCCGAGGAGAAGCGGCGCGGTTACGGAGCGGCCCGGCGGCCTCCCCGCCCCGGGCTATATTTGGGCGCGCCCCGGGGCCGGGCCGCGGCTGCCCGCGTGGCGCCGCTCCAGCACGGCTCGGCCCGGCCCCTCCTCGGCCCTCCCCCGGCCCGGCCCGCAGCCGTCCCACAGCCGTCGTCCCGGCCCGCCCCGCCGCCCGGCGCTGCCCCGCGCTTCGGAAAGGCCGCGCCGCGCCGCGCCGTGCGGCGTCGGGTCGGCCGGACCGGGAACCGCCGGGACGGCCCCATAGAGAGCCGCTGGGGGCCGGAGCACCTCCCGGTGGGGACGGGCCGAGAGCCCCGGGGCTGTGTGGCCGAAGGAGAGAAGGCTGAGGGGTCTGAGCGGCGCTGACCCGCAGCTGAAGGGCCGGGATGGGGCCAAACACACGTGGGTGCTGTGAGCTGCTGCGGGTCGGGATGGCGAGGATCCAGAGGCCGCTTCCACAACCACGTTGTGGGATTCTGGCGCCTCGAGTGGTTTGTGTGCAGTTCTGGGCCACTCAGTACAGGAAATACATGGAGGCCCTGGAGTGTATCCAGAGACAGACAACAGAGCTGGGCAGAGCCTGGAATGCAGTCCTAATGGGAATGGCTGAGGGAACTGGGATGGTTCAGTCTGAAGGAAGCTCCGAGAAGACCTCATAGCTCCCTACAGCTCCTGAAAGGAGGTTTAGAATCATAGAATCACAAGGTTGGAAACGACCTATAAGATCATCTAGTCCAACTGTCTCCTCATCACCATTGCCACCACTAGCACTAAACCATATCACGCGGCACGTCATCCAGATGCCTCTGGAACACTGCCAGGGATGGTGACTCCACCACCTCTCTGGGCAGCCATTCCAGTGCCTGACCACTCCCTGAGAGAAAAAGTTCTTCCTTATGTCCAACCTAAACCTCCTCTGATCAACTTGCGGCCATTGCCCCTTGTCCTGCTCATTGCCTAGGAGAAGAGGCCAAATCCCTCTTCACCACAGCCTCCCTTCAGGAGGTTGCAGAGTGCAGTGAGGTCTCCTCTGAGCCTCCTCCAGACAACAATCCCAGCTCCCTCAGCCGCTCCTCATAAGACTTGTGCTCCAGACCCCTCACCAGTTTCGTTGCCCTTCTCTGCACACGCTCCAGCACCTCAACATCTTTCCTGTAGTGAGGGGCCCAAAACTGAACACAGCACTCGAGGTGCGGCCTCACCAGTGCTGAGTAGAGGGGGATGCTCACCTCCCTGCTCCTGCTGGCCACACCATTTCTAATGCAGGCCAGGATGCCATTGGCCCTCTTGGCCACCTAGGCACACTGCTGGCTCATGTTCAGCCGAGCACCAACCAACACCCCCAGGTCCTTCTCTTCTCCACACTCATCCAGCCACTCGTCCCCAAGCACATAACGCTGCGTGGGGTTGTTGTGGCCAAAGTGCAGCACCTGGCACTTGGCCTTGTTGAACCTCATCCCATTCACCTCGGCCCAGCGATTCAAATCCCTCTGAAGGGCCTCCTTATCCTCAGGCAGATCCACACCACCTCCCATCTTGGTGCTGGGAGGTGCATCTGCAAACTTACTGAGGGTGCACTCAATGCCCTCATCTAAGTCATCAATAAAGATATTAAACAGGATGGGCCCCAGTACCGACCCCTGGGGGACACCACTTGTAACGGGCCACCAGTTGGACTTCACTCCATTCACCTTGACCCACTGGGCATGGCCTTCTAGCCAGTTCCTTACCCAAAGAAGGGTAGACCTGTCCAGGCCATGGGCAGCCAGTTTCCCCAGAAGAAGCCTGTGAGAGACCGTGCCAAAGGCTTTGCTGAAGTCTAGGAAGACTACATCAACAGCCCTTCCCTCATCTACTAGACTAGTCACCCAGCCATAGAAGGAAATGAGGTTGGTCAAGCACAACCTGCCTTTCACAAACCCGTGCTGGCTGGGCCTGATCCCCTGGACACTGCACACATGCCGTGCAATCTCATCCAAGATGATTTGCTCCATAACCTTCCCTAGTACCCAGGGTCAGGCTCACAGGCCTATAGTTCCCCAGATCCTCCTTGCGGCCTTTCTTGAAGATGGAAGTCACATCAGCAAGCCTCCAATCCTCACCAGTTAACCAGGAGTGCTGATAGATGGCGGAGGGGGGCTCAGCAATCACCCCTGCCAGCTCCTTCAGTACCCGAGGGTGCAGCCCATCCAGTCCCATGGACTTGTGACAGTCCAGATGGAGGACAAGCTCTCTGAGGTTGGAGCGAGGAAGGGTCAGCCTCTGCTCCTGGGTAACAGAGTCACAGAATCACAGAATCACAGAATGGTTGGGTAGGAAGGGACCTCAAGGATCATGAAGCTCCAACCCCCCTGCCACAGGCAGGGCCACCAACCTGCACTTTTCATAGCAGCCCAGGCTGCCCAGGGCCCCATCCAACCTGGCCTTGAACACCTCCAGGGATGGACGGGGCATCCACAGCCTCTCTGGGGAGCCTCTAACAGCAATAGGGTGAGAGGTGATGGCTTCAGGTTGTACCAGGAGATGTTCACACTGGGTATGAGGAACAATTCCTTCTCCAAAGAGCAGTCAGGCAGCGGCACAGCTGCCTATGGAGTGGTGGTCACCATCCCCGGGGCTGTCCCAGAGCTGTGGGGATGTGGCACTGAGGGACGTGGGCAGTGGGCATGGGGGGGTGGCTGAGTGGGGTTGGGTGTGGGGATCTCAAAGGCCTTTCTCCAACCTTAATGATTCTTTGATTCTATAATTTCCTGGGATTTCAGCTGTTGTTTTACTTCAGGACCAAGGCAGTTCCCAGCATATAGAGCTGGATAGCAGGGAGCAGCTCTGTGCTGTATTAACATCATTTACTTACTGCAGGTCCTTCCCCACTACTAGAGTGAGGTTCAGTCTGGATGGCCTGATCACTTGTGGACAGAGAGGACCTTTCCAATGCCTCTGATTTGTGGTAGGGCTACTGCATTCCTAATGCAGATGATTCATGAAAGAACTGCTAGAGCTCCTGCCCGGAGAAGTGTGCAGTCTCTGGGAGCCTACCTTCGTAAAAACAGGCAGTGCCTAATAGGTGTGCAGGGACAGGTTCACACTTTTCATTCCTGGTTCCTCCCAGTGGCCCCAGTGGCATGGAGCTGGCTTCTGTGGCTACCTCTCAGTGATCTCTGCTACATCTCGTCCTGGAGCTGTGGCTTCTCAGGATCCCTGCTGGTTTTATAGCAGGGTTGGCAGAAGCACTAGTGAGCAGTTAGCCCAGTTTTTAACAAAGTAGAGGCCAGATTTCAACACTGCTGCCTCTGAGGATTAGTTAGCAGAGCCCATAGGGGAAGGGGCAGGAAACCTGCAGGACTGGGATAGAGGTTGTGTTTGAGCTTTGCGGCACAGGGCATGGCAGGCTTGGTTTACCCTACTGAGCATTTCCTTCTCAAAAGTTCTCCGATCCTTTAGCTTTGCAAAATAGCAGATCTCCAGTCTTGAACTTTTAACAGTTAAATGAAGTGCTAGGCCTATGAGACTTGAAAGTGAGTTGCATGACCTACCGGTGGATTGCATTATTTCTGGAGACAATTTGCGTATCTTCTCTCTGATTACCCCTGTTGATTAGCCCCTTGTTCTGTGATAGCCAGGGCAGCCCTGACGGAGCATCTGCTGCAGTCTTTAAGAGCTCTCCATTTCTCATCCCATTTGCCACGTGCTGGGCTTCCAGGATCACAGCTGTCTGCCACAGTTGGCCAGTGTTGTTTTGCACACAGCAGTGATACGCCACGGTCCTCTCCTTTTCAAAGCTCCTGGCTGAACCCTTGGCTGCCCTGTACATTGCAGTGCACTGAAGTCATGTTTCCACGAGTGCTTGGGATCTCCTTTTCCATGCTAGACTGAAGCACCAGCAGACCTATGGCTGTGTCCAAAACCTCATTCCCACAGGGCTGTCTGTGCCCAGCTTGTATCCTCATGCAGGTGATGTCATGGATGCGGGATCCTGCTGACTGTAAGTCTCTGCTTTCCAGGCATCAGCCTCCAGCCATGCTTGTTGGCTGCCTCCCAGAAACTGTTTTTATTGCAGTTCTTTGTGCTCACTGCTTAGTCAATGTGCTTTACAGGCAGCAAGAGACATGCTCTCTATCAGGCACAGAAAAACAACCTGCCGTGGGCATGAGCAATGGGCACAGCTGCCCCCCACCACTGTCCCTGGGGTGTGCTCTGGCCTCCTGTTGGCAGCTAAATGTCAGCAACAGGTCCTTTCTGAGGGGCCATGGGAAACCAATCCCTCCCTATGGATCATATGTAACCGCAGGAGCTAAACTGGAAGCTGCAATAGTTATGTATGGCTATCAGCTCTCTAGGTGGCATTTAAAGGCTGTAAGCAACTGCATGGGTTGGCTTTCAGAAGTTTTGCAAAGTCAGGGATATTGGGGCTGGAAGTAGTTTTAATCCTAGACAAATTAGGGGATGTGGTCCTGCCTTTTCCTTTGAAAAGGAAACAAGATCCCGAGGGACAGATGGAATAAGTACTCCATAGACCTTCAGGTACAGAATCTGTGGGAATACCTCAATTGAACAGAAGGAACAGAACATGGGAAAGAAAAAAAAACAAACCCAGAAGATTATGGTTCTTTTAGGGACCAGGAAACAAGGATTCGGGTGCAATTTGCAGTCCTGAAGGTTGTTGTCCACCTGGATGTGGCTGCATTGTCAGCGCCCATTTATGGTACATTTTGATTGATTCAGAACAAGACGGGGTTTGGCTACAAAGTCTGTCCACATCTGCTTTTTAAGTGAGCGCATTCTGCATCTCAGAACTTCTATATTCATGAATTCTTCCAAGCCAACACTATTGTGAAGGGAGCCAAAATGAGAGAGCTGTGCTTCTCTTCTCCTCACAGGGAAATCCTGGGAGTGAAACCTCTTGTAAAAGCAGCTGGGATGTTGTCTTGCTTACTGGTTGGTAAAAACTGGGCTTTGTAAAACAAAAGTGCAAGATTTGTAGAAGGTAAAACAAAAAAGCAACAACAAAAAAAGAGGTGCTGTG